TATTAAATTGAGACATAGTTATGTTAGATAATTACTGACAAATGGAGTAATAATAGCAGACTATGTAAATTTGTGTCAAAATTTGGCAGATTCCTCTACAAAAAAATTATTAGGAATATGGTGTTCAAAACATCAGTAGAGATATGATTAAAACTCATATGAAAATATCACTCTTGGCAAAAACTTGACTTGACTCTAGGGGTGTAATTTCGGCAAGTTAATCCAAGGCCAACTCGAAAAAATCACAACTTGGGTTGAGATATTTAAAATTTAGGTTGGGTCTGAATTAAAAAATTTTAACCTGAATTAAATTTGGACAATACTTGAATTGAAAATAATAAAATGAACAACGAAGAGAGTTGTGCAAACTACAGTTCTAGGCATTAACTAAAAAGAAAGATCGTTGGAATGATCATTACTGGGTAAAAAAAAGCAAATAATAAACTTAAGTAAGGAAAAGATCAGATCTATATAGAGTTATGTATTTGATCGAGAGATCCCTTCTTTATAGTCTTGTCTTGGAGATGACTTTTAATTGTTGAAGTCATATTTTTTTTATCACAATCGCAATCATACCTTTTTTTTCTATGTCATTAAACATGCACCGAATCATCTGTATTTGGGTGATAATGTCACGTCTCTTCGTTTTCTGCAATTCAAGAAATCATATTCTCTTAATTGTCTTGTCTTACTTTGACTCTTTTTGACTTCATTCTAATCGTTGGATGTTACCACATGCCATTCGTAAATCTTTTAAAATTTAGTTGTGAATAAAATAAAAGTTAAGTTAAATTAGAAATAAGGATCCGGGTGATACATAGGATCCAATAGATGTGGTGGATCAACCCTAATAACAGAAATCAAGAAACGAGGAGAAGCAAATAGGAGAGAGAATACAGAAGTTGACCTCGCTCTCTCCGGTCCAGGTAAATCCCATGTCTGCACTCTGTCTCTCTCTTTCTCTCTAAAAATTAGCTATCTCGTTGTATCCTTTATCTGCATTATCCCACATTGTACATCACATTCCGGAAATCAAGGAAGACGAAATGCCAAGAGTTGCTTCTAGAAGCCCCGACTCCATGATAACTGACTGTTGGAACCGCAAGGCATGCCTTTGACACTTTTTGGGTTTCCATTTTTGTTTATTTGGCATTCAGACCTAACAACTATGTTGAATTGTGAATCGATGTTCGTTTTACTTAATTTGGTCTATTCTTGTTGTTTTTCATCTACTAGGGCATATAGGGTCAACTATGGTTATTTTTAGTCATTGTCTTCCATTAATCTTGTTTGAATCTGAGGGCAGGGCAGCCTTGTGCAGTGGTAATTGTGTGCTAAAATGGCAAGGTTAGGTCTGTACTCAGTCTATCCCGCCCTGCGTGCTCGATTAGGAGGACCAAATCCTACGACCCTTTGGGTGGAGTTCCTGAATTGGAACTTCTTTATGATAAACCTTAGAGTTAATAGGATCCATCCAAGAGGTGTTCAACTAAATTTGCAAGTAGGAGATATCAGAATTTAAGTGTGTATGTTAAATATAAGGTTTTGGGAAATGGGAATTGAAAAGGAAAATTTCTGGGATGGGTGTGGAAGAATTTAGATAAACTACATTTTAGGTGAAACAGTTTGGACTGAATAACATTGTGAACTGAACTTCCTCTATACAATTCATCTTGATGAACATGTTACAGTTGTACACATCTTAATCAATTTATTTTCTCTCAGTTTATCCAATTTTCTTTCAAATTTTTATTTCTCTTTATTGTTGTCTAAATTTCTACCTGGGTATTCTTGTGGCTTCACCAGTGTGGTAACTGTTGATTGGAAATAACAATGATGGAATTAGGCGATGAGCTGTATGTGTGAGGATGATGCTCATTGTGGGTTAAAGGTGGTAACAAGATTGAGATGAAGGTCGTACACGTGGGCAAGTAGTGGACAGTGGTGGTGCTTGGTGATTGGAGTTGTAATTGTTTGAGGGTATTTTGTTCATCTATATTAGAGAGAGAGTGGGAGAAAGAGAACGAGCTGGTGTGGTGGCAGTAAATTGTTAGGTCTGGGAGGGAGAAAAAGGCTGGGGGGGGGGGGGGGGGGTTGGTT